TAGCCTATTCATCCATTGCCCACCTAGGCTGAATAATTGTCATTGTACAATTTAAACCACAACTAACTATCCTAACCCTAACTATTTATATTATCATAACATCAGCAACCTTCCTAACATTCAAACTAATAAATACCACAAAAATCAACACACTAGCAATAAGCTGATCCAAAGCCCCCCTTATCACAACCACAACAGCCCTCGCACTCCTATCTCTAGGAGGCCTCCCCCCACTAACAGGCTTCATACCAAAATGACTAATTTTACAAGAATTAACCACACAAGGACTTCCACTGACCGCAACCATCATGGCGCTTAGCGCCCTGCTAAGCCTATATTTTTATTTACGATTATGCTACGCCATAACCCTAACAATTTCACCAAACATAAACAATTCCCTAGCCCCCTGACGCCTACAAAATACACAAAATATAACCCCCCTAGCCACATTTATAACCGCAACCTTACTTCTCCTTCCATTAACCCCCCTAGCCCAAGCACTAACCAACTAGAGACTTAGGATAATACCAGACCAAAAGCCTTCAAAGCTTTAAGTAGGAGTGAAAATCTCCTAGTCCCTGTATAAGACTTGCAGGACTCTATCCCACATCTTCTGAATGCAACCCAGACACTTTAATTAAGCTAAAGCCTTACTAGATGAGAAGGCCTCGATCCTACAAACTCCTAGTTAACAGCTAGACGCTCAAGCCAGCGAGCATTCATCTACTTTCCCCGCCTAGTCAATAAAGGCGGGGAAAGCCCCGGCAGGCGACTAACCTGCATCTTCGGATTTGCAATCCAACGTGTATTACACCACAAGACTTATGATAGGAAAAGGACTTAAACCTTTGTACATGGAGCTACAATCCACCGCCTAATCCTCGGCCATCCTACCTGTGACGATCACGCGCTGATTCTTCTCGACTAATCATAAAGACATTGGCACCCTCTATTTAGTGTTTGGTGCCTGAGCCGGAATAGTTGGTACAGCCCTTAGCCTGCTAATTCGGGCAGAGCTAGCCCAGCCCGGCGCCCTTCTGGGCGACGACCAAATTTATAATGTCATTGTCACTGCCCATGCCTTCGTAATAATTTTCTTTATAGTAATACCAATTATGATTGGAGGCTTCGGAAACTGACTTGTCCCCTTAATAATTGGAGCACCAGATATGGCATTTCCACGAATAAATAATATGAGTTTTTGATTACTCCCACCTTCCTTCCTACTACTGCTCGCCTCATCTGGAGTTGAAGCGGGGGCAGGAACAGGATGAACTGTCTACCCACCTTTAGCCGGAAACCTAGCACATGCCGGAGCTTCTGTAGATTTAACTATTTTCTCTCTTCACTTGGCAGGGGTATCATCTATTCTAGGGGCCATTAACTTTATCACAACTATTATTAATATAAAACCCCCAGCAATTTCACAGTACCAAACACCTCTATTTGTATGAGCTGTACTAATTACAGCTGTACTTCTACTGCTATCTCTGCCCGTACTAGCCGCCGGCATTACAATACTTCTAACAGACCGAAATCTAAATACTACATTCTTCGACCCCGCAGGGGGAGGAGACCCCATCCTATATCAACACCTTTTCTGATTTTTTGGGCACCCAGAAGTATATATTTTAATTTTACCGGGGTTCGGAATAATCTCCCACATTGTAGCCTACTATGCCGGCAAAAAAGAGCCGTTTGGCTATATAGGAATAGTATGAGCTATAATAGCCATTGGCCTCCTAGGTTTTATCGTCTGAGCCCACCACATATTTACAGTAGGCATAGATGTAGACACCCGAGCATACTTTACATCCGCAACAATAATTATTGCAATTCCAACCGGGGTTAAAGTATTTAGCTGACTCGCCACTCTACATGGAGGCTCAATTAAATGAGAAACTCCACTACTCTGAGCCCTCGGTTTTATCTTCCTCTTTACAGTGGGAGGGCTTACCGGAATTGTCTTAGCCAATTCATCATTAGATATTGTATTACATGATACCTACTATGTAGTAGCCCATTTCCACTATGTATTATCAATAGGCGCTGTATTTGCCATTATAGGAGCCTTCGTCCACTGATTTCCCCTCTTCACGGGGTATACTATGCACGACACCTGAACAAAAATTCACTTCGGAACAATATTTGTGGGTGTAAATCTTACTTTCTTCCCACAGCACTTCCTGGGCCTGGCTGGAATACCACGACGATATTCAGACTACCCAGATGCCTATTCACTATGAAATATCATCTCATCTATCGGCTCCCTAGTTTCCCTAGTAGCAGTTGTAATATTCCTTTATATTTTATGAGAAGCCTTTACTGCTAAACGAGAAGTTCTTTCCGTTGAATTAACATCCACAAACGTGGAATGACTGCACGGATGTCCACCACCATATCACACATTCGAAGAGCCTGCCTTCGTGCAAGTACAAACAAACTAACGAGAAAGGAAGGAATCGAACCCCCGTAAACTAGTTTCAAGCCAGTCACATAACCACTCTGTCACTTTCTTCCATAAGATACTAGTAAAAATGAATATTACCCTGCCTTGTCGAGGCAAAATCGTAGGTTAAAATCCTGCGTATCTTAAGCTTCACAGCTTAATGGCACATCCCTCACAACTAGGATTCCAAGACGCGGCCTCCCCTGTAATAGAAGAACTTCTGCACTTCCACGACCATGCTTTAATAATTGTTTTCCTAATTAGTACCCTAGTCTTATATATTATTGTCGTAATAGTCACTACTAAACTTACTAATAAGTATATTCTAGATTCTCAAGAAATTGAAATTGTCTGAACCATCCTTCCAGCAGTAATCCTCATCCTAATTGCCCTTCCTTCTCTTCGAATTCTCTATCTAATAGATGAAGTTAATGACCCCCACCTAACAGTAAAAGCCATGGGCCATCAGTGATACTGAAGCTACGAATACACAGACTACGAAGATCTAGCCTTTGACTCTTATATAATTCAAACACAAGACCTGACCCCTGGACAATTCCGACTACTTGAAACTGACCACCGAATGGTAATTCCGATGGAATCCCCAATTCGAGTTTTAGTATCAGCTGAAGATGTTCTACACTCCTGGGCTGTTCCAGCGCTAGGCATTAAAATAGACGCCGTCCCTGGACGACTAAATCAAACATCCTTTATTACCTCTCGCCCCGGAGTATTCTACGGACAATGTTCTGAAATTTGTGGAGCAAATCATAGCTTCATGCCCATCGTTGTAGAAGCCGTCCCTCTGGAATACTTTGAGAACTGATCCTCCCTTATGCTTGAAGACGCCTCACTGGAAAGCTAAATAGGGATTAGCGTTAGCCTTTTAAGCTAAAGATTGGTGACCCCCAACCACCTCTAGTGACATGCCACAATTAAATCCCGCCCCATGATTTGCAATCCTTGTATTCTCGTGACTAATTTTCCTAACAGTAATTCCCCGCAAAGTTTTAAATCATACCTTCACAAACGAAATTACAATATTAAGTACCGAAAAGCTTAAATCAGATACCTGAAACTGACCATGGCACTAAACCTATTCGACCAATTCATAAGCCCCACACATCTGGGTATTCCCCTAATTGCCATCGCACTTACATTACCTTGAGTTCTAGTCCCCTCCCCAACGAATCGTTACCAAAACAACCGACTAATCTCCCTACAAAGCTGATTCATCAAAACCTTTACACAACAACTGTTAACCCCCCTAAATCAAGGAGGACACAAATGAGCAATAATTTTAGCCTCCCTAATAATTTTTATCCTCACATTAAATATTTTAGGCCTATTACCCTATACATTTACTCCTACAACTCAACTTTCATTAAATATAGGACTAGCCGTACCCCTATGATTAGCCACAGTCATTATTGGACTCCGAAATCAACCCACCGCAGCCCTAGGCCATCTCCTGCCAGAAGGGACTCCCGCCCCATTAATCCCAATTCTAATTATTATCGAAACAATTAGCCTATTTATTCGACCCCTTGCACTAGGGGTACGACTTACAGCCAACCTCACAGCAGGACACCTGTTAATTCAACTAATCTCAACCGCAACAATTACCTTACTCCCTATAATGACTACAGTAGCCACACTCACCGCTATTCTTCTAGTACTACTAACTTTACTAGAAGTAGCAGTAGCTGTTATTCAAGCCTACGTATTTGTTTTATTACTAAGCCTATATTTACAAGAAAACGTCTAATGGCCCACCAAGCACACGCATATCATATGGTTGATCCAAGCCCATGGCCCTTAACTGGGGCAGTAGCTGCTCTTCTAATAACATCAGGTCTAGCAATCTGATTCCATTTTCACTCAACAACCCTAATATCATTAGGACTAGTACTATTACTCCTTACTATATATCAATGATGACGAGATATTGTTCGAGAGGGCACCTTCCAAGGACACCACACACCCCCTGTCCAAAAAGGCCTGCGATATGGAATAATTCTCTTTATTACCTCAGAAGTATTCTTTTTCCTTGGATTCTTCTGAGCCTTTTATCACTCTAGCCTGGCCCCAACACCCGAGCTAGGGGGGTGCTGACCCCCCACTGGAATTATAACACTAGATCCATTCGAAGTGCCACTTCTTAACACCGCCGTACTCCTAGCATCAGGCGTAACAGTAACATGATCTCACCACAGCCTAATAGAAGGAGAACGCAAACAAGCAATTCAATCACTCGCCCTAACAATTCTGCTGGGCTTCTACTTCACTGCCCTCCAAGCCATGGAATATTACGAAGCCCCCTTTACTATTGCCGACGGAGTCTACGGCTCAACCTTCTTCGTAGCAACAGGTTTCCACGGACTACATGTCATCATTGGCTCAACCTTCCTCGCAGTCTGTTTCCTCCGACAAGTCCAATATCACTTTACATCAGAACACCACTTCGGATTCGAAGCAGCCGCCTGATACTGACACTTTGTAGACGTAGTATGATTATTCCTATATGTCTCTATTTACTGATGAGGCTCATATCTTTCTAGTATCCAAAGTTAGTACGAGTGACTTCCAATTACCTAGTCTTGGTTAAAATCCAAGGAAAGATAATGAACTTAATTATAACTATTTTATTTATTACCACAGCCCTCTCCACAATTCTAGCCCTAGTATCATTCTGACTCCCTCAAATAAACCCAGATGCAGAAAAACTCTCCCCCTACGAATGTGGTTTTGACCCGCTGGGATCAGCACGCCTGCCATTCTCCCTACGTTTCTTTCTAATTGCCATCCTATTTCTCCTATTTGATCTAGAAATTGCCCTCCTGCTTCCCCTACCCTGAGGTAATCAACTGCCCGACCCCACCTACACCCTATTATGAGCTGCAACCGTCCTCATTCTATTAACACTAGGCTTAATTTATGAATGAATACAAGGAGGCCTAGAATGAGCTGAATAGGGAGTTAGTCCAAATATAAGACCCCTGATTTCGGCTCAGAAAATCGCGGTTCAAATCCGCGACCCCCTTATGACACCAGTATACTTCAGCTTCACCTCAGCATTTACCTTAGGACTTATAGGCCTAGCCTTCCACCGCACTCATCTTCTATCAGCCCTCTTATGCCTAGAAGGCATAATATTATCTCTATTCATCGCCCTAGCTTTATGAATATTACAACTAGAATCAACTACCTTCTCCGCAGCCCCAATTCTCCTGCTAGCCTTCTCAGCCTGCGAAGCTGGGGCAGGACTTGCCCTACTAGTTGCCACAGCCCGAACTCACGGAACAGACCGACTACAAGCCCTAAATCTTCTACAATGCTAAAAATCCTAATCCCAACAATCATATTATTTCCCACAATCTGAATCTCCTCCCCCAAATGACTTTGAACAACTACAACACTCCAAAGCCTACTCATTGCTTTAGCCAGCCTTAACTGAATTAAATGGTCCTCAGAAACAGGTTGAACCTCCTCCAGCCTCTATATAGGCACAGACCCATTATCAACACCCTTGTTAGTACTCACCTGCTGGCTTCTACCCTTAATAATTCTTGCCAGCCAAAATCATATCAAAACAGAACCCATTAACCGCCAACGAACCTACATTACCCTACTAGCCTCATTACAAACCTTCCTAATTATAGCATTCGGCGCCACTGAAATTATTATATTTTATGTTATATTTGAAGCAACTCTCATTCCAACCCTAATTATTATTACCCGTTGAGGAAATCAAGCTGAACGACTAAGTGCAGGTACATATTTCTTATTTTATACCCTAGTAGGCTCCCTCCCCCTATTAGTAGCCTTACTTCTCTTACACCAAAACACAGGAACATTATCAATACTCACCATTCAATATTCACAACCCTTAACCTTAAGTTCCTGAGGAGATAAAATCTGATGGGCAGGTTGCTTAATTGCCTTCCTAGTAAAAATACCACTATATGGCGTCCACCTATGATTGCCAAAAGCCCACGTGGAGGCCCCAGTAGCAGGTTCAATAGTACTAGCAGCAATCTTGCTAAAACTTGGAGGCTATGGCATAATACGAATAATAGTTATCCTAGACCCTTTATCCAAAAATATAATTTATCCAATTATTGTACTAGCCTTGTGAGGCGTAATTATAACAGGATCTATCTGTTTACGACAAACAGACCTAAAATCATTAATTGCTTACTCATCCGTCAGCCATATAGGCTTAGTAGCAGGAGGAATCCTAATTCAAACTCCATGGGGTTTTACCGGAGCCCTTGTACTAATAATTGCCCACGGCCTAGTCTCCTCCGCCCTATTCTGCCTAGCCAATACAACTTATGAACGAACCCACAGCCGAACAATAATTCTGGCCCGCGGACTACAAATTATCTTTCCACTAACAGCCACATGATGATTTATCTCAAATTTAGCAAATCTAGCTTTACCCCCTCTACCCAACCTAATAGGAGAACTAGTAATCATTACAGCAATATTTAATTGATCCCCCTGAACATTAGCCCTAACCGGAGCAGGAACCTTAATTACCGCAGCCTATTCTTTATATCTTTTCTTAATAACTCAACGAGGTTCACTCCCACATCACATTATTAACCTACAACCTTTTCACACGCGAGAACATCTACTAATAACCCTCCACCTTCTCCCAGTCATCCTCCTTATCGCAAAACCCGAAATCATATGAGGTTGATGGTACTGTAGATATAGTTTAACACAAAACATTAGATTGTGGTTCTAAAAATAGAGGTTAAAATCCTCTTATCCACCGAAAGAGGCCCGAGGCAGTAAGGATTGCTAATCCTCATTACCATGGTTAAACTCCATGGCTCATTCGAAGCTTCTAAAGGATAATAGTTCATCCGTTGGTCTTAGGAACCAAAAACTCTTGGTGCAACTCCAAGTAGCAGCTATGGTAAATATTATTATAACTACTACCCTGCTCCTAACCTTAATTATCCTAGTTTGACCCCTTCTAATAACACTAAACCCAAAACCCTTAAATCAAGACTGAGCCATCAAATATGCCAAAACTGCCGTAAGCACCGCATTCTTTATTAATATTATTCCCCTAATCATTTTTCTAGATCAAGGAACAGAAAATGTTATCACCACTTGAAACTGAATAAATATCATAAACTTCGACATTAACATCAGTTTCAAATTTGATCACTACTCACTAATCTTTACCCCTATTGCCCTTTACGTAACATGATCTATTCTAGAATTTGCATCATGATATATACACTCTGACCCCTACTTAAATCGATTCTTTAAATATTTATTACTATTTTTAGTGGCTATAATTATTCTAGTTACCGCTAACAACCTATTTCAACTATTCATCGGATGAGAAGGTGTCGGCATCATATCATTTCTACTAATTGGATGATGACATGGTCGAGCCGACGCCAATACAGCAGCCCTCCAAGCAGTCCTCTACAACCGAGTTGGAGACGTGGGTCTAATTCTTACCATCGCCTGAATTGCAACAAATCTCAATTCATGAGAAATTCCACAAATTTTTCTACTAGCTAAAGAATTTGATATAACACTCCCCCTAATGGGTATTATTTTGGCCGCCACAGGAAAATCAGCCCAATTCGGCCTACACCCCTGACTCCCTTCAGCAATAGAAGGCCCAACCCCAGTATCAGCCCTGCTCCACTCAAGCACAATAGTAGTTGCAGGCATCTTCCTATTAATTCGACTACACCCGCTAATAGAAAATAATCAACTGGCCCTAACCACCTGCCTATGCCTAGGCGCCCTAACAACCCTATTTACCGCCGCCTGCGCCCTAACTCAAAATGATATCAAAAAAATTGTAGCATTCTCAACATCAAGCCAACTAGGCCTAATAATAGTTACTATTGGACTAAATCAACCACAATTAGCCTTCCTACACATCTGCACCCACGCCTTTTTTAAAGCCATACTCTTCCTATGCTCTGGCTCAATTATTCACAGCCTAAACGACGAACAAGATATCCGAAAAATAGGAGGCCTACACAAACTAATACCATTCACCTCCTCCTGCCTTATTATTGGCAGCCTCGCACTCACAGGAATACCCTTCTTAGCAGGCTTCTTCTCAAAAGATGCAATTATTGAAGCTCTCAACACTTCTCACTTAAACGCCTGAGCCCTAGCCCTAACATTAATCGCCACATCCTTTACCGCAGTATATAGCCTCCGAGTTGTATTCTTCGTAACCATAGGCTCCCCCCGATTCTCATCCCTATCCCCAATCAACGAAAATCACCCCGCAGTAACTGCACCTATTGAACGCCTTGCCTGAGGAAGTATCATCGCAGGACTTATCATTACCTCAAACTTCCTACCATCAAAAACCCCTACCATAACAATACCCCTATCCCTTAAATTAGCCGCCCTAGCCGTCACAATTGCAGGCCTCATTATTGCACTAGCCTTAGCCACAGCAACCTCTAAACAAATTAAAATTACCCCCACCCTCACACTTCACAGTTTCTCCAATATATTAGGATTTTTCCCACCAATTATCCACCGGCTTATCCCAAAACTTAACCTTGTATTAGGAAAACAAGCCACTAAGCTTGACCGACAATGGATAGAAATAGGACCCAAAGGACTCCATCCCTTCCACCACTCCTTATCCTCAATATTTGACAAAATTGATTCCAATATTATCAAAATTTACTTAACCTTCTACCTAATTTCCACAGCCCTAATTATTGCCCTCCTCATTATATCTTAAACTGCTCGAAGTGCCCCACGACCTAACCCCCGTGTCAATTCTAATACCACAAAAAGACATAATAATAATACCCATGCACATACAACCAGTATACCCCCTCCAACAGAATATATTAAAGAAACCCCACTAACATCACCACGCACCACAAAAAATTCCTTGAATTCATCCACAACAACTCAATAATCCCCATAACCACCCCAAAATCACCATACCGCAACCCCCACTCCCAACAAATATATTAAAACATAGACCTTAACAGACCCCGCCCCCCACGTCTCAGGAAAAGGCTCAGCAGCCAAAGCTGCCGAATACGCAAACACCACCAACATTCCACCCAAATAAATTAAAAATAATATTAAACCAACTAACGACCCACCATGGCCCACCAAAGCCCCACATCCAACTCCCGCTGCCACAGCCAGCCCTAAAGCAGCAAAATAAGGTGCAGGATTAGAAGCAACCCCAACCAAGCCCATCACTAAACTTAACAAAAGTAAATTAAGAAAATATAACATAATTCTCACCCGGGCTCTAACCAGGACTAATGACTTGAAAACCCACCGTTGTAATTCAACTATGAGAACCATGGTCACCCGAAAAACCCACCCTCTATTCAAAATTGCCAACGACGCACTAATTGACCTCCCTGCCCCATCCAACATTTCCGCATGATGAAATTTCGGTTCTCTCCTACTATTATGTCTCATAGCACAGATCCTAACAGGACTCTTCCTAGCCATGCACTACACCTCAGACATCTCAACCGCCTTCTCATCCGTAATACATATCTGCCGAGACGTAAATTACGGATGAACTATCCGCAATCTACATGCCAACGGCGCCTCCTTCTTCTTCATTTGCATCTACCTA